GTTTTTCACTTATCACAGGGCTTCAGGGTACGGATCCCCCGCGATAAACGAGGGACTTCTGTACATCAACATTGCAATGTTAAACTAAATTAAGTAGAATAAACAATTAAAGTGTGCACAAAGATGCATTCATACAGTTTACATGAAGTGTTCCAATTAAAACAAACATCAGAACTTGTTCCTCATCTTTATTTTTTATTAGCTTGCCTCAAGTTTTTCATCCACATGACTAATTTAATTAAATTTCCATATATTTACCAACAGTTATACTGACTGAGTTGCTAACTTGGTTATTTGTAGAGGTGAGTTTAAACGGGATGTTTTTAGTGACTTTATACACGACCCAGAGTGAACCATGAGAGTCACATAACCTGCTGCTGAATAATCTGAAGCATTTTTTTATTGACATCTAACCTTGTGATGTACGTCCCTTCTGTGTCATCCTCACCCACAAACACTTCTGCAATCAGGCAGACCTACAAAAAACAATAGAAACTTATTTCTGCTGCAAGTTGGGAGCAGAGATGTTCCATTTAGTTCATAATTGGAGAAACACAGAGAGAGAGAGCTTGAACGAGAGCTAGAAAATAGGGATGAATTATGAATTGTGTGGAGAGAGGGGCTTTGCAGCAACAGAGAGTTTTAACATTTAATGATTTTTTTGCCAGTGCAGCAGAAACGCCTAAGATGGATGTTTGCATGTTGCGTGTTAATGTCACTGGAAGATTCCATTTTAAATCCACTGCACACCCGTGTTATCAGGTGTTTTTTATTCTTTTTGGGGGTTGGGAAATGCACTTTATGACAACAAGGTTAGGGTATCAAAGTCCCGCAAACAATCTAAATGTGATGTGAAACTCGGTCACTGGGCTGTTTTTTGTATAAGAAACTGCTTGGTTTGCATGGCAACCCGGTCCCACCTGGCAACCCGGTCCTGCCTTGTGTCGTTCATGCGTTCATTTGTCTATTTCTGTCTCAGCATATTTGCTAACTGAAAAGAGTTTTCTTGAAAAACTGTGAAAACCAGTCAGTCTGGCTTAAAACGTAGCAGCTTTGAGGTAGAAAAACCAGCACATAGAAAGATGATTGTTACTTTCTTTTTTATTTATTATTTTTATCTGCGATTCTGCCCCTCTGGCATCTGGCTCAATGCATTAATATTTAATTAGCACAAATGACATTGATCTTCCTGGGTACTCCTTACAGTATGATGTGTAAGAGAGGCAGAGATGGATAAAGGCACAGCAAGGCATGGAGCACGGGAAGAGAGCTGGAGAGAGGGAAGTGGAGGGAAAAGGAGGAGGAGGGGGGCAGCGAGAGAGGATCAGCTTTTCAGTACAGGCTCTGAGCAGGAGTGGAGTTGAGAGAAGTGAAGCAGCTACCCAGAACATGTGCATGGCAGGGCTTTGATGTGATGCTCCATCTCTGTGGTGTAACAGCTCAGACCTCATGCTGGAGACAGGCACCAACCAGAAGGCTCTTTGGCTTCTACAGGAAACCTGTAGCTCGTCCCGGACGCTGCAGCATCACTCAGTCTGCCTAATGCAGACGGATCAGCAGCCCTTTTCTATCAGCACGGGTGAAAAGTGGAGCCAAGTAGACGACATAAAGGGGAGGGGATCTCAAGCAGCCTAGTGCCGTGTTGCTCAGAGAGAGAGAGAGAGACAACTAAAGAAGGGAAGGACGAGCGAGGAAGAGCAGGCCAGTTGCGCTCAGTTCTGCAGCAGAAACCACAGGTCCATCGGTCTGTCCTGAGGAGGTTTGGACCAGAGGGCACAGCAGGTGGAGGAGCACCGCAGGTCATTAATGCTCTCTCTGTCTTTCTGCCGATGTTTTGCAGGAGTGGTGCCAGCCAAGAGGAGCCCAAAGCTGGTGGTGAGTAGATACCGTGTCTTCAACTCTCTTGTTTGTGTGCATATCATGCCTGCTCCTTATTCAAACAAGTGCTATTTTAAGAACAAAAGGCACCGACGTGTGATGTGCAACTCTTGCTGTTCGTGCAGCTGAAGCTTCAGAAAGCTTCCTCTTTTTTCCAGCTTCTTCATATCTATCCTCCTGGCACTCCGGCTACATCCCTTTTTCCCTTTCTTTGTATTTTTGTTTTGGGTTGTCACTTTCTTGTTGGCTTTCTTTCTCTCTGCATCCCTCTGCTCCTGCCATGCTGCCAGCCTGTGACTGACTGAGCGTAGCCTGGGCAGAGTGGTGTAACTGTGACCAGCTGTTGGGGAGGACAGACCTCCACAGATGAGAGGAGACAGGAGAAAGGAGCATCAGGACAAGGAATCCAGGGAAAACAGGAGACAGAGGATGAGGAAAGAAAACAATAGTGAATTATTAGAATCACTCACAGAGACAGAGAGAGGAAGGCAACGGTGCCAGAGTGAGCTGGACTGGATGTTTATCCGTGTTTTAAGAGGAAACAGCTTTTTTACAGTTAATCTCCGATTAAATATATGAATCGACTCATGCTCAAAAGAGATTCATTCAACCTTTATTTATACAGGTTAATCCCAGTGAGCCTCGGGGACTCATTTACAGAGATGCTGCTTTCAACTAAAGACATTGTTTTGTTTTTTTGTAAAACTTCCTCATCAAGGTTGATTGCTGCTGAAATAATTTTTAAAAATATATTTTTTAACTCATTTTGACTCATTTAAAGCAGCATCACAGAAGCTAAAATCAGTAATACAATTTCTAAAAACAAATATTAGCTAAACCGTAGTTGAAAGCTAAAATTTCCAATCTAAAACTAGTAACTAAAAGTATCAAAATGCTAACTAAATGCTCATAGTAAAGCTAAACAGCAATTAAGAGCTAAAAGTGCCAAAACATTAGCTTAATCTCTAAACACAGCAGAACTGTAGCTAAAAGAAAAGAGCACAATAGTAATTAAATGCTAAAAGTAGCAAAACAGTAGCTAAACTTGAAACATAAAAGAATGATAGCTAAAAGTAGCAAAATGCTGACTAAATGCCAAAAGTAGCTAAACAGTAGCTAAAAACTGAAAGTGGCAAAACACTAGCTAGACTTAAAACATAAAAGAATTATAGCCAAAAGTATCAAAATGCTAACTAAATGCTAAAAGTAGCAAAACAGTAGCTAAAAATTAAAAGTGGCAAAACACTAGCTAAATTTTAAACACAAAAGAATGATATCTAAATGTAGCAAAATGCTAACTAAAATGCTAAAAGTAGCTAAACGGTAGCTAAAAACTGAAAGTGGCAAAACACTAGCTAAACTTAAAACATAAAAGAATGATAGATAAAAGTAGCAAAATGCTAACTAAAGGCTAAAAGTAGCAAAACAGTAGCTAAAAATTAAAAGTGGCAAAACACTAGCTAAATTTTAAACGTAAAAGAATGATAGCTAAAAGTTGTATAATGGTAACTAAATGCTAAAAGTAGAAAGAAAAATTGTTAAAAGCTTAAAGAAGTAAATGGTAGTAGGTCTATGTAGCAAAGCAGTAGCTAAGCCAAACAAGAGACAAGTAGCTAAAATCTAAAAGTACCAAATTGATAGATTTGATCTAAAATAGCAAAACACAATGAAAAAAAGCAGAGTTCAAAGAGACAGTGTTTGGGAGTAATTGAAGATATTTTAGCGTATTTCCCTGTGGAATTTTGTTTTAAATAAAGTTACACATTTTGAATAATGTCCTTTTAATGGAGTTGCTTCTTATCCAGGGTTACCTTGCCTCTTGGACAATAACAGCTGGAGACCAGCTCCCCGGCGATGGAAGAGTTTCGAAATTATAATAGTTACAAAATGCAAGTCATGTCAAAAAAATAATTAAAATTGCACAAAGTATGAAGAAGTATTTTGATTGGGATCCAACAGGAATGAGGTGGTACCTCTGCAGGTCACGTGGTGCGGCTGTAGATTCACCTTGGAGTAGCCCAAGTGCTCGACTGTCGCTCTAGATTAGTGCTCGTCGGAGGAGACTTCTCCCTCCTGCATGCTGTCGGTGAAATGTCACTCTGCAGCCAAAAACAACCAGTTTGCCTTCAGTTCAGGCTCTACATAGATGCTCTCTGTAAACTCTCGTATGCAGGATGAGACTCTCTGTCCCACCTCGTTAGGCAACTCCCCGGTGATCAAACGAGAAGACAATTTTGCGTGGCTGTTGTCCTCATTAAGAAGCGTCGCTGGAGTCGTCTCATACTCTGTGATGAGTGAGACACTGGAAAACAGAGCCATGACTTCTCTGCCATTTATTGCGCTGGTTTATTATTTTGATTAGATAAAAAAATGATTCTCTTGTCAGCCTGGCCCTTTTTCACTGTCACTAATCACATTTTCTGAGTGGGGCTCATTTTTTATATGCTTGGAAAGTGGGTTTTTTTTGTATTATTATTGCAAGTCTAGAAATATTGACATGGTAATATGTAATATATGGAGTTGCAGAATTAGAATACAAAGAGTATAAAAGGGAAATAATTGCAGCCATGTGCAGCAAGGTGCTCTGTATTTTGTTTTGGCATTTAGGTCTTGTCCTGCGTTAAAACTTTGGAAAGGGTTTCAGCGCCATGTTCCTTGAAACAAAGTTAGACTGTGAGGATTGAATGTTCCATAAAACTGGTGACACGTGCACAGTCTTCATCGCAGTCTGCTGGTGTTTGGATTCTTTCAACCAGTTTAGTTTAACCTGAAATACTGTGAAGCTGTCAGTCCAGACTATTCACCATTCATTCCTTTTTGTTTTTACATGCAGGGAATTAGAGATGTGATATTCAGCAAATACAGTATTTTCCAGAGTATAAGTCACATCAGTCGCATCAGTCAAAAAAAAACATCATGAAGAGGAAAAACATATATAAATTGCTTCGGCATATAAGTCACATTTATTATGCGTCACCGCTGACCCGTTGCGTTTATTTAATGGTCAAAACAGCTTCTTTTCACCTGGATGGAGCGGCGTGGCGCCATCCATCCATCAAGGCCGGAGCTGCTAGCTGTCCAGCGTTCCTCCACCTGCACCAGCCCAATGAAGCAAGCGCCCACAGGAGGACTCGCTGTTGCAGTTCTTCGAAATTTAACGAGATTAACACTTAAAAACAATTATTTGTTTGCTCGACATTATAGCAAAGGTGTGTCTCAGTTTAACATTTTCTTAATAAATGCACTTTAATGGGTCAAAGCAGCTTTATTTCGCCTGGGCGGCGCGCGCCATCCATCCATCCATCCATCGCAGCTGGAGCCACAAGCTCTCCAGCGTTCCTCCACCTGCACCAGCTGAGTGAAGCGAGCGTGCATGGGAGGACTCGCTGTTGCATTTCTTCGAAATTTAAAGCAAAAAAGTCAAAACTTATGAATATGGAGGAAACAAAACGTATATAAGTTGCTTCGGCATATAAGTGGCAGGACTGACAAATCTATGAAAAAAACTGTGACTTATACGCCGGAAAATACGGTAAATGGAGGCAATGGATTTATTAAAAGTTGTGTTTCTTTATTAAAAATTCACTAAAATCTTAAAACTATCTCAGTCTTGCTGCCATGGAAACCACGTCATTTCTCCTGCCTTGAATGTTTTATCTTATTCCTCCTTCTTTTCATCTTTTCTCTGCTGTTGCTTCCCTGACTTTTAGTTTTACCTTTGCGTTTATATCCACACACTCACGTGCGCGTCTGTTGTGTCCACCCAGCACCAGTTGGAGAGGAAAGACAGTCAGAACAGCTCCCAGCACAGTGTGTGCAGCCATCGCAGCACCCACACCGACTCTCCCAGCCACCCACCCTCTAACATGCCCAGTGAGGCGGTGGTCCCCACTTCTGCTGCCCCCACTCAGCCTCTGCCAGTGTTGCCCCCCCAGGACCCCACAGATGGCACTCTCACCCTCCAGAAGAAGCCAGACCCCTTTAAGATCTGGGCACAGTCCAGGAGTATGTATGAAAGTCGACGTGAGTAGATTTTTATTATTTTATTGTTTTTTTCTCCTATTTTGCAGAATCCAAACAGCATAAGAGGATGTTCTTTCTAAAAAAAGAAAGAGAGAGAGAGAGAGCGAATAATATCTTTTTGTGCATTTGCCTCACATTTTTTTAACATCACAACGAATTCTGATTGAAAAGGTCCCTGCAGAAGGAAGTGTCCTTGAGTAGATGTGATGCGACTACATTCACCGTCCTCTCAAGAATTTCAGGGCTCAAACATTAATATGCGCACGTGATTTTTCACATTTTTCTGTGTGTGGGGTGGGGGGGAATAAAGCACGTGTTTAGAAGACTTATGTGTGTAAATGGGAGGTGTTAAATTTACTCAGCAGATATTAGAGAAGTCCACCGATGCGTCAGATTGTAGGCAGCTACCCCCTAAGATCTTTTTCAGTCTTGGTTTGTTGTTGCATTTTTCATGGGAAAATTCTTTACATGTTTGTGTTGAGAAAGAGAGAGTCCCCAGAAATAGCCTGTTCACTCTCCTGATATGACTGAACTAAATCATTTAAACCTTCTGTGATGTGTCGGAGGAGAATGGAGCACAATAAACTACAGCTCTGTGGTGCAAAAGATTACATTTAGTAAAGACAGAGAGATGGCATTGATGGCAGTTTTGTATTCTTGTTAGTGTTCACTGTGGAAAGGTGAAAGGTGTGCGATATAGTTTTTGCCTGTGTGTGTGCATTTGTACACGTCTGTTCGCAAATTGACTCAAAGCAATAGATACATTTTAATGAAAATTGCTGAATGTAATAATTGACTGGACTTCTACACCTGATTAAAGTTTGGAGCTTGAACTTGGATCAGGATTGTTGCTATAACTAACTGGCCTTCAAAAACAGGTAGATGTGAACACATTCTCAATTCAGTTTATTTCTATAGCACCAAGTCACAACAGAAGTCGTGTCAGGACACTGAACAGAAACGTTCATATATAAAATAATAATTTAACATTATTTATCTGAGGAGCAGACTGCTTTGAGTTTAACTCATCGCAGACTCTCATCTTGAACAAGTATGAAGGAGACAGTGGAAAGAAAAAACTCCCTCATGAGGAAGAAACCTTTAGCAGAACCAGGCTCAGGACAAGGGACCATCTGCTTTGACCGACTGGGCTTGGTAGGAACAGATACGCAATGGCAGGTCAAGAATCATGTTAAGAATGAAATAGTATCAAATGAAAACTATTCAATTTTAACAATTCATTTAAGGAAATGAGGTCAATTTGTCCTCTAGTAGTCTAATTCTATAGCAGCATAACAAGCCACCCCTAGCTATAGGATTTATCAAAAAAGAAAGTCTTAAAACTGGACAATGTGTCAGCCTCATGGGCATAAACTGGAAGTCGGTTCCACAAGAGAGGAGCCTGATAACTGAAAGATCTTCCTCCCATTCTGCTTTTGGAAACTCTAGGAACCATGAGTAAACCTGCAGTCTGAGAGCAAAGTGCTCTGTGAGGAAAATATGGAACAATAAGAGCTGTAATATAAGATGGAGCTAGGTTGTTGAGAGCTTTGTAGGTTAGAAGTAAGATTTTGAATTATATTCTGGATTTGACAGGGAGCCAATGGAGAGCAACTAAAACTGGAGAGATATGATCTCTCCCACTAACTCCAGTTAAGACTCTGGCAGCAGCATTTTGGATTACAGAACTGTGCAAAAAGTCATTCACAAGGTTTAACCAAAACAGCTGTAACTCCATCTTTTCTCTACATAAGATGATCTTAGTTAAACCTCTGGCATGAACGGTGATGTGCATTCCTTCAAAGAATGCAAGCTTTTAACTGACTACCTGTTCTAGGCCAGATAAGGCGATTGTTCGCACGCCGCATGTTGCAGTGTTGGTTAACGATAATGTCAGCAAGCAGAAAGTAGGACTGGTGCTAATTAAATATTAACTGGGTCTTGAGAGGGTTGTGTTAAGCTGTAGATGATTGCTAGATCGGTTTGATAACCTCTGAAGGATCTGCAGCCCCTCTCTGGATTTATCAAGGAAAAAAGGAAAGGAGAGGAGGTAAACAGAATGACAAGGAGGCCCAGATTCTGTCTGTGTATGTTCATGTTGTTCACATCCCAACACTCGGTGAGTGTCTAAAGAGGAGGGCCTGTATTTGCTGTGCACACTTGCAAAGCACTATTTCAGTAGCAGGATGGTGTGACTGAATGGTCGTCTTGAGTGCTTAAAGATGGTTTTTACTTCCTCTAAATGTTTTTTAATCTTTCCATAGAGGAGGCTTTTTCAATAAGTTTTGACTGACAGGTAAGAGGGGTGTTGGTGTTTTTGCTGGCTGCCAAAGAGCTTCCAGATGTGACTGCTGCAGCCATTTGCATTCTGACATGCAACCTTTTTGAAACGTTTCTAGAAAGATTTCATGTTCGTGTGGCAAAAAGCCCCTTTACTCAAACTCTCCAGCTGAATAAGGATTAACATTTAAAAGCTGTGTTATTTTTGTTATTATTTTAGCTGACTTGACAAAAGCTTGATTTTGGTATTCACACGTTTTCTTGAAATAGCCAGTCTCCCACGTGCGTTACAGCCGTGAAAACAGTCTTACAGAGAGGCAGCGAGTGAGGATGCAGATGCCTGCAACATTTCCAGCTAGGTCCTTGGTTAAACCAAATCTCTAGGTTATTAGCAAGTTAAACACTGTTTGAGATTTATTCTGCTGGTGTGTGCCCGCCTGAAAGAATGGCTGTTTTAAACTCCTCCACAAACCTGCATCAGGCTTTCCATGGGCTCAATGATGCTGCTGATATACACAAATGAGGAATTTTTATCTACACAAAAATGGCTATCCAGACGTTTTATCTGCTATTCTTTAGATGCTGTTTACAAAATTAAGCAATTTCTCCCCCATGCTTTTGAGTCTGAAATAGGCCTGTCACCATAAACAATAAATCAATTAATCGCATGATAAATGAAAATTATCGACCTCATTTTCTTTTATCGGCTTTATCGTTTCTTCGTCTCTGTCTTTCTACTGAAGACAATGGATGACAAAAGGTTCCACTCTGGTGCTCTTCACTGACTCCTCCCTTTCTCTTTTCTCTTTAAAATAAAATTTAACCATCCAAAATTGCATTTTTGGATGGTTTGGATGTTTTTTTTTGTTTGTTTGTTTTTTCTTTCTCTCTGTCCTCCGGTGGAACCAGATGTGTCTCCCTGTCTCCCCCCCACCACCACCACCACCCGCTTCCGCTGCACTCTTTTGACCTTTGAACCCTTAAAAAGCCTCTTTTTTTTCTGCATACCTCTTAATTCGAAGATTCAGCTGGTCTCTCAACAAAATTGATCAACTTCTCCTGACAGGAGTAAGGGCATAAGGAGGACCCTCTTACCTTGACGGAAACAAATTGGATTCATGATGACAACTGTTTTTTTTTGTCGTTTGGCTGGTGAATTCTGGATTGTCTATAAATTTGTGTGGATGTGTCGAAGCTCGACAGGACTCTGACTGAATTTGTGGAGCTGCAGCAGGGAGCTGGAGCAGCTGTTATCAGGACTGTGGACTCTATAGCAGCACACATGAAGGGGAAATAATCTTGGAGAAGCTGTGAGCTTGACTTTTGGCATAAAGGATCAATTCGGCTGTTTTAGAGTTTCCATCAGAGGAATATATACCAGCAAGACTTTAAAAAGGCAGAAACAACAATTCACGAGTTCTGCCTGACCCAAACTGTGGCCTTGATGCCGGACTTATCTCAACTCCTTCTGGAATGTTTGGAAAACAACAAAGATGCTTTGACTGTTTCCTCACCCCTCCCTTCCCCAAGGCCGTGGACATGTAACAGAACCTCAACTGAGGTGAAGATGAACGTCACCTCTTATCTCTACAATGGCTGAGAGAGGGGGCTCTGGACTATGCTACGACTTTCCCTTAAAAATTCAATGTTTTCACCGGCCTATATATACATGTATAATGTCTATTTATGTTGCTTTGCTGTGGTAGGTTTTTTTGATGCCTCAAATTGTGCCCCGTCTAGGACACGTAGTGAGAGAGATTTTTTTATACCGTCTCTCCTCATGTTTTCTTTCATTTTCTTATCTAAGCAAAATATTATTCTGAATAAGGATAAGAAGGCCACGCTGATTATTTTAGCCGCAGCTTCGTGCACTCCGCCCATTTTCAGACGACTGTACGTACATGTTCTCGTTGTATCTCGGTGCAATGCCAATAAAGTTTGTTCTGATTCTGATTAAAAGCAGCTAAGCTAACAGGCCAACCTCAGGAAAAAAACTCTGTCTTGTCGAAGCTCTAACATTCACGGTTGAAACCCGTGCCTTTGTCTAAAACATAGTTTTTCTCTGCAAAAAAAAGCGGAGAACTTGTTTACTGATTTTTTTTTATTAAAAGCTTTGTGTGAAAAATGCTATGCTAAAGAGCTCATACCTCACCTAGTGTCCACCATTTTGAGAACCAAAGAAAGGGAGGAGAGACAGCCCATGTCACGTCAAGGGGCCTCCCTCCCATTTTTCTTAAAGGGAAGTGCTGCTTGCTCCCTCACTATCCATCCTTGGTTCAAATGGTTTTCTACTACCATCCATTGGTCAAAAAAGGTACTACACAAAAATTAACCAACATTTCTTCTTAAATTTGACAATAATTACAAGTTATTGTCAAATTTTAAACAATATTATTGTTTATCACAATAATTTCTGAGACAATTAAGCGCCCAGCAAAATTTGTTATTGTGACAGGCCTAGTCTGAGATGAATTGTCAGCAAATTCTCCCAAAAGTCTCTGATGTTCATGTGTGAGAACAACTTTTTTTTTTGTACTTCCTTCCTCTTCCTTTATTCTGAACCTACTCATGCATGCATTTCTGGTCAGTAGTGCATCTTGGGAGCAGGCATCGCTCAGTGGATCGATGTTTAGACCTCTTAAAAAGCAATTGGTTTTCTTCTACCAATGTAGATGCCGCTTGTACACATACTGTGATGGATTCTGTCTCTTGGCTCTTGATTTTGACCCTAATGTCATCCATAACCGGTACCTGAACTTCTGACTGAGTGGTTGTTAATGGGATAGAAGGTAGAAACTATTTTTTCTGACTTTCTTGTAACTTTTGGCTCTTGAAGGCAATTTATTTCTTATTCAAGAAGCATGTTTAGCTCTAACGGGCTGTACACAGTTGATCCAAGCTGAAGAAGCCTTCCGTTTGAAAGCTGGCATGTTGTTCTGTTCAGTTGCTGTTGTTTGTTATTTACAATGAGCTTTGATCACCAGGTCATCACAGGTCAATGAAGCGTAATTACAAGTCTAGCAACAGCATTGTTGTCCCACTGAGCACATTATAGTTGGAAGTGTTGTGCTCAAGCTAACGGGTTAACTCCTGGTCTAACGTGGCAGCCGTGTCGACAGAAGGCGATGCGGTAAAAACTGCCCCATTCCTCCTGTGCGTACTGGCCCTGTGGGTTGAACAGGCTGACACCAAACTGCCTGTGTCCTCCTCCACTGCCTGCTTGCTCTGTGCAATATGCAAAGAAGTGTGGATGTGTGCATGTAAAGCAAAGAAGATGCAACACGCAGGAAAGAGAGAAATTAAATGTGTGACAGACTCACAGTGTTACTGCCAGCTAATATTATAAACCTGTAAATAATGCTTTAAGACTTCTTGTTTTAGAGTACAGCAAAGCTGAACTAGGAGACATCAGCAACCAGTTTTTTGGACTGGATTTGAGAACAAGGACCCAACTATTAAGAGTATCATTGTATTGTGAAAGGAGCAGGTGTTGTTTGGGCCTACTTTTATTCTGTCACTAACATTAAACACATATTTACAATTAATAGTTTCCCTTTTTTATTTGAATTTATAAGAATTCAACAAAACCAAGTGGCAGAACTTGTTGATCTAAAAGACAAAGCATTCGGTGATTTAGGAGCTTGCACATCCATCACTGATATCTATGGAGACCGCTCACTGATTCTCTTGTGCATTTCAGTGCCAGATTGCCAGGAGCAAGACATTTTCCTTTGGCGGAAGGATACAGGTTTTGGGTTTCGCATCTTGGGAGGAAATGAGCCTGGGGAGCCTGTAAGTATCTCTTTAAATCTCATTATGAGTTCACTGCTATGCATAGGTTATTATAAGATATACTGACATGAACATATATACTGTACATAATACACTGGATGTTCTTCAGTATCTTTGCCTCATTATTGCCTTACACTGAAGGTGTTTGTTTTTGTCGTGTTAGCAAATATCTCATAAAGCAGATGACGAGTTTTAATGACATTCCCAGACAATAATTACTGATAATTAATTATCAGTAATTATTGTCTATCAATATCAGTATCAGGGGGCGGCTGTGGCTGAGTGGTTAGCGCAGTCGTTTGCCAATGCAGGAGTTGGAGGTTCGAATCCACCAGCAGTCACATGGCGAAGTGTCTCTGGACAAAACACTGGACCCCTCGATGCCTCTGATGTGTGTCCCATCGGTGTTTGAATGTGATAAAGCTCTGATTAGTCTCTTTAGAATGATTTGTTCAATTAATCTTTGTAGAGATGTAGTAGAGTGTATGAATGAATGGGTAAATGAGGACACAGATTGTGGTGTAAAGCACTTTGAGTATCTTCATAAGATAGAAAGGTGCTATACAAGTACAGTCCATTTACCATACATTTTTGATAATAACTGATTATCTGTTTGAGTCAGCCACATTTAATATGGCTTCCCGGCTAAGCCACCTTAGCAAAACATAAAATACTACAACTGAGTCAGTTTTACAGTTATTGAGCTAAAATTTGGAGTGTTAGCAGCTGAGCGTCATTCAGTACTTATATTTTGAGATCCAACTAATCGCACAAAGTATATTATAAAACGTTGCCATTATTTATTGAAATCAATTCTAGCTGTCTGTTAGCAAACTTTCTGTCTGCAGTCTCATAGAACATTGGATAGGTTTTAATGAAACGTTCAGAAATTAATCGTTAGGTGTACATCTACAACTGATTAACATTTGGAGTGATCCCTGTTCAAAATGGCTGCCACAGCTAAACAACTTTATCAAGCTCAAAAATGTCCACAACCAAGTCATTTTTACTGATAGATTATCTAAAAATGATTGTGCTGGCAGCTGAGAGACTTCACAAATACAGCAGTCCCTTGTTTATTGTGAGCAATCTGTTCCCTGAAGCCCCGCTGTAACTGAAAAACTGTGAAGTAGTAATAGTAGTACAAGTAGTAAGCAGTAGTTTATTTTAGTATTTATTTTTTAAGGCATTTTAAACCCTTCCCACACTCTTGCAATATTCTAAACAATGTTTCTAAACTCTAAACGCTCTAAAGGAGCACAAAATGTTATGATTTCAGCTCCCTGCCTCTGCTGCTCTTTGCTACCTGCAAGCGTTCTTGGCCACGCCCACTTCTCAGCTCCGCATGGAGAGTAGCTGATCAGCTGCAGCAGGAAGTTTATCCTGCAGTATGAGCTGCACATGCGTGCAGGAGGAAGCTTTTTCTGCAGATCTGGTCTGCACAAATGTGCAGCAGGTACTAAATAAAACAATTTATTTTCAATAAAAAGTCCATGCCGATTGTGCGGCTCATCCGTCAATCAGCCAATTGTGTGTCATGTCTAATCTTATTTTGAAAAACCGTGATAGAGCGAGTTCACGATAAACAAACTGCAAAATAGCAAGGGACGCAAGCGTTGTGTTATGTCTTTGCTTAAACTTTGTCATTACCTGTCAGAGACAACACTGTTTGTCTGTTAGCAAAATATACCATGCACCACCAGTCAAATTTGAATGTAACTCTTAGAAAGTTTCATCTAAGATTCATCTAAAACTCATTTACTTTTGGAGTCAACCTAAATTTGGTATGCCATCCCACTAATAGACCTAGGCCAACATATAAATAACCCTAACTCACTCAGATTTATAAATACTATGGTAAAGTTTAATGTGATAGTAGCTGAACGTCATCTTTAACACATGCGCAGTGCACTAAGATTTCTCACAATATTACATAAGATTGTATGATGTTAATACAAGGTTTGACTGAGATTTCTCTTAGACTGCTTCATCTTATCACAAGCGGATCTTGCTTTAAAACTTGGTGGGTGATGAGCATTCCTTCATGAAAGCTAGACCTTTCGTAATTGTTCTCTTTTTCCCCTCATTTTTGTGCTGTGTTTGCCTTTAGACCAGAATAGTACAGCGCTCTAACACTGACTCCCTCCTCTCTAACTAGAGCTGCGGCTCTCTGGAGGATCATATAGACAGCTTGTTAAGAGAAGCAAAAGCTTTAGTTGCTAAATCCTTGCTATTGTGCATCATATGTTTCTCTTAAAAGTGGTAGCCAGGAGGAGATTGATTGGCAGCAATTGGGTAAAAGGGTGAACTGAAACGGCAGCAGGCTTTAGGTCTGCCTCGCGGGAGCTGGACTTGTTAAATGTGCCAAAAGTGATGTGCAAACAGCAAATCTGTGGGGTGGTGCTTCTTGAGGCTGAGCAGACTGAGCTAAGAGAGAAGTGGTTGTCCTCAAACCGGATGGTTACTCTTCAATACAAAAGTTTTCTTTGTAACTCTAAAGTCCTTTCTTGTCCTTCTTTTTTTTTTTAGATTTCTTTCACAAACACTTCAAAGAAAGGCAGCAGAATCTGCTCATTTACTCAAAACTGCTCTTATTTTTATTGTGATTTTTTAAAAACTGCATAATAAAAAAATAGCTTTCTGTCATGAATGAGTTGTTGCACAAAACTCACTCAGCAGACAAGAGGTCATATTCTCTGTTTTTCCAGATATACATAGGGCACATAGTGAAGTATGGGGCTGCGGATGAAGATGGCCGCCTGCGGTCGGGTGACGAGCTCATCTGTGTGGACGGCACAGCTGTAGTGGGCAAATCTCACCAGCTGGTGGTGCAGCTGATGCAGCAGGCTGCCAAGCAGGGCCACGTAAACCTCACCGTCAGGCGCAAGACCCCTGGATACGGAGGTGATAGGAGTTTTCCATAAAACATGTATATTTGTGTTTGAGCGTTTGTCGGTCGTTATTATGCAAACAAAACATCCACAGCTGTTCATTTTGTTCATTTATCTAGCCAGTGTGAACTTATCCTCTTTGACCCACCAGGTTCAAAAGGAGATGGCGACGTTCCCCCATCCCCGGCCTCCTCCCATCACAGCAGCACCCAGGCACCCAGTCTGACAGAGGGAAAGCGGACCCCTCAGGGGAGCCAGAACTCGCTCAACACCGTCAGCTCTGGCAGTGGATCCACCAGCGGTATAGGCAGCGGTGGTGGAGGAGGCAGCGGGAGTGCGGTGGTGCCTGCCTCTCTGCAGCCTTACGATGTGGAGATCCAGCGAGGAGAGAACGAGGGATTCGGGTTCGTCATAGTGTCGTCCGTTTCAAGGCCAGATGCCGGCACTACTTTCGGTGAGTGTGGTAGACTCAGCTGTGGTTTCAGAGCACCAATAGATCAAACGTTTAAACAAACAAAATATTTTAATAAGGTCATTTTGGATTTCATGGTAGCATCACATTAAATAAAGGGAGGAGAGGTGCGACCAATATCTGCAAAAGTGGTATGAATGAGAAACAGATGGAGGAGCATTTTACTACAAATTATGTCCATTAGCAACAGATCAGTAAAAAAAGAATATAAAAAGAGACTTTTAGAGAGTCTGAAGCTCTTAGAAATAAAGATTGGCAGAGGTTTGCCAGTTTGTCAAAAACTACGTCTAAAATTTGTGAAAAAAAATCAGAATAATGTTTATCAATGGAAAACTGGAAAAACTTTGAATATCCCAACATCTACAGTTTATAATATCTTCAAAATACTTTAAGAATATCAGAATCAGAATAAGCTTTATTATCATTGTACCAAAATACAGTGAGATTATGTTCGTACAGTCATCCAAAATATAGGCGAAGTGCACGTTGCTGGTGCTCCATGAGAACGCGGCCCCTTGTCCTTTTTTAGAAAACTTTTTAGATAGAAAAGGGGGAAAATCCATGAGGATAGGATAGTGGTATTACAAAAAAAATACATCCTCACATCTTGTCCTATTAGCACATGGTTTAAGACATCAAAAAAGTCTAACAGCAAGCACATTTATAAATGCATTACATATGTATTTGACATCACGACGGTGAGATTTGTCCATGAAGCACTTCTTGATGGTCCATAGTCCTGATAAGATGTTGGTGTTAGCCAGTACTGCTCGGATTAGCCTTCACAGAAGTTCTTGGGCGGGGGTGGGGGGATTCAATAGACTTTGCTTTATCTTAGTTTACACATATCCCAGGATAAATTTGATGAGTCGGCCTGCTTCAAGGCCAAATGGAGGAGTCAGATTCAGATAAGCCACAATTGTTGATTTTTTTTCAGGCAGACTGTTTTTTTCTTGTCAGCCTTGTGTGCTGGTAGTTCTGATCTAAAATGGCCAGATTCCACTGGTCCGTGCTTATGAGCCTCCTCCAAGTTCATCTCCAACATGCTGGCGAGTCCCAGATACTGCAGGTGGCCTGCAATTCTCACAAATCACTTCCATATTACAGTTTAGCTCATAAATCAGCTGATTTTGAGTACTCAAAGCACAAACCAAACCTTCACACTAACTCAGCAGTTTTGCCATGGCTGAAACTGCTGCCGCCATTTTCCTTAATAGCCAATAACATAGGAATCCGCTGATGCCAAAAAAGCAGAAACCCTGCTGTCATGGTTCCAATAATATTCATATTTTCAGCATCCTCCTGAGACAATACGGAAAGGCACATCAGTTCTCAACTCCCCACAGATTCATGACGTATCTTGCTGCGTGTGTCTCATCTGGGCATGAGGGCTCTCCAGGACCCTGTTGCTTTGTTGAAAAGATTTTATCGATTGCGTTGAAAGTCTGCCATTGTGTTGAAAGTCTACCTGACCAGATCCATGACAGTAGTTTTAGTTTCGGAAGATGTGTAAAATAGGAGCTCTGATACACAGAAAGAGAGCAAAAAAATGCAGGAGAAGGACAGGAGCAGGAGGAGGAGGAAAAAGCATCCGCCTTGCACAAGAGCAAGTGAGGAAAAAATAGATATACATGTGTAAATCTCTGTTTGCAAAAGGATAAAGTATTAGATGGCCATGGGCCCTCGCCTTCAATCCAGACCACTCTCCAGTTGAAAACCTGTGGTGCAACATGAAACACCAAATCCACCAAAGAAGACCCATGACTGTTGAACACCTAGCATCCTACTTTAGACATGAATGGAACACGTCCCTCTAAAAACTCCAGCAACTGGTCTCCTCAGTTCCCCTATCTGTTGTTAAAATAAGAGGAAGTGCTTCATAGTAGGAAACATGGTCCTGTTTCAACTTTTCTGAAATGTGTTGGCACAATTTCTAAGTACGAGCCCGCAATATATTTACTACGCTCCATTGTGAATGTAAATGAGTTTATCATATTTGCAAATCATTGCATTCAACATTAATTTACATTTACACAATTTCCAAACCCAATAAACCAGATTACAGCAGAATACCTAGGAAGAACGGGCAAGCTCCCCGCAGTAAACCACACTTCAGGCAACAAGGTACAGAAATAGTGAGAGCAGCAGAGTAATTAATCATTGATAGCATCTTAAGGCAGAGTTACCAGCATTTTCTGTTACTCCTTGGGTTTTCTTGCAGAGGTGTTGGACAGAAGTTTGCTCTCTGTCACAGACTGAGGTCACGCGCCTGTTCCTCTTTATCATGTGCTGAGCAGACTCCCTCAGGGTCAGGCTGTCTGCAGCTTTATCACCAACGCATCAGAGATTCACGCCTTATAGCGCCTCTCATCATTTCATTCAACTTGTAATCGAAGTCCACTCAGCACCACTCGTAGCTGTCTATGCCGGTTATGTATCAGAGCCAAACAGCAGAATTACATCACAGTTTTTCAGGAATTGAGGAAAAATTGCAGATGGCGCCCTTGAACAAATTTGGTACAAACCTCTGAAGTGATGAACACAAACGTCATACAAAGGAGCCTTAGCCTGTGTGATGATATAATGTGATGTGGCTCGGGTGAATTTTAAGGATATGAGATCCTCTAACCATGATATCTGCCCTAGGTTAATTTCATTGAGTTGATGGGACTCAGTTTAATAATTATTGTGTTTACAGTTGTACAGTGTTGTGCAATACATTGTACAGTTGCAGAGAACTGAGAATTATGAGCATTTTCTAGCTTCAAAGGCTTTTTAGCCACTTCTATGTGTTCACTCTTTGTTCTCATAGAAATATAAAATAAATGTTGCTTGCATTGCATGCACGGATTAGAGATCATGCAATAACTTTGTGTTCTCACTCTTTAAATTGATTCTTACCTTGCTGGACAAGCATGTTGAGCTGATTCAGCCTCCCATACATCAATGAAACAATCAGCTGTCCTTAAGTCCATCAAGGGCCGTCCTCCTCTCATGATCTTGGGTTGGTGTTGTGCTTAGCAGATTGGGTTTTAAATCCTTGTCACACTCTGTACGATTGCATAAGTCATTATTTAGATAAAGTGACAGCAGACAAGCACATTCTCATTGGAAACAGAAGATGGGGAACTGAAGGAAGGTGATGTAATTAAAATGGATGTTGAATGGAAGGGAGAGTTTGAGAAGGAGGAGAGCTCAAAGGAGTGCAATAGAAGAGAAAGGAGAAAAGAAGATATTAAATGTTTGCAGTGAGTTTCTGTTTTTTATCATTTTTTGATTGTTGCCCCAGGAAACCTCCAAGGCGTTCGAGTTCAAATTCCTGAACATTTTGTTGGTGCTTAAGAAATCACAGCTGAGTTACTTGAATACTGAACAAAAACAAAGTATTTATGAATATATCAATGTTTAAATGTACATTTGACATGTTTACACCTGTGTTTATACAAAAATCCTAATGCACATGTTTATTTGAGCAATGTGCTAACTTTGAACTTGTGCAAAAACTTATTGGGCGTTTATGAGTGAACTGGTGATTTGGATAAATGTCCTTTTTTCTTATTCCTGTTCTTTCCTTTCTCTCCCAATATTTGTTTCCTTCTTTTCCTCTTTCACAAAATACAAATAAAAAAAAACAAATCACTGCAACCATGAAAAAAATGCCATGCAAACGCAAAAGCTGGGAATACTTGTGTGGCAATGCCCCACAAAATAGGACGCATCATCGAGGGCAGCCCGGCAGACCGCTGCGGGAAGCTGAAGGTGGGGGACAGAATACTGGCTGTGAACGGCTGCTCCATCACCAACAAGTCTCACTCAGACATCGTCAACCTGATCAAGGAAGCCGGGAACACCGTCTCACTCAGGATCATCCCAGGTGATGGTAAGGCTCTTTGGCTTCCAGCCTGTTTCATAATGCACCATGGCGTGACTTATTCATGGCTGGAGTGGGATGGAAAGGACGCTGATGCTTTTCACGGGCAGGAGCACCACAGATCAGGGCGTGAACCCTTGTGCAAAAAGGAGACCGTTTGAGTCGAAGGGAAGAGAAGTTTATTCCAGAAGCTTCTGTTCCACACAGCTTCCCTCCTTCTATGCTTTTTGTTTGCCTTGACGAATGGGCTGTAATGGAGAAAGACAGACCTTGTTAGAGCCATAAATAAGAAATATTTTGATTATATATTTTGTGCAATGCCTTTTGTTTTTTAATTTTTGCCATTTTAGTAAGTAAGGTTAATATTAGTTCAGGTCAGCTTTATTGTGAAATTTAGTTTTATTTTGAAAAGGCTTACTTCCTGTTGAGTGTTATGTTAGAAAAATACATAGGGCAGAAGGATTGCATGAGCACGGAGCAATACAGTTTTTGACCATGTTTTCTCTTTTGGAAAGAAAGAAAGAAATTATAATTGATTTTGGATCGTCATTTTTTGTATTCGCATTTTTCCTAGATGAAGATTTTTTATTAAGTTCCCGGTTTTGCACACGTCCCTTACTTTTTCAAGAGCGCTTATAGAATGACAGACCTTCTTACGATTAATTGCTTCCTGTTGGTGTTAAGTGTGGTGGCTCTGAGGTTTAAACAAACATTTGAATAAACAAAATTATATTAAGCCAAACCGGAAGTGGTGA